AGGGTTCCTCATCTGCAGATTGCTGGGTCGTGTGGGCCGTCGTTCAGGTGGAACGAGTCGGTGCTGGTCCTGGTTCTGTTTTGATCCGGCTTTTATTGGCCTCTTGCTCCAAGGCCTGTTCGCTCAGGAACTTTTGCACGTGCCACTGAAAAATATATTGCAGGTCTGCAGCTGAGGAGGCAGCTGTGCACTCAGCACTGCTTTTTTCTTAGGAATCTTGAAATAAAGCACAGGTAGGTGTTCTAATGGGCTGTAGTAAGAATCGCAGAATAGCAGACATGGAGTGTAGGAGTGATGTTTGCAAGTAAGATGAAGATGTTTTTCATCATCTGATTTCACTTATCCCCACAGGTCAGTGACCCACAGGCAGCAGAGTTCAGTCTAAATACCCACATGTTCCTGCTGTCCAAAAAGAAGCTTTGGATATCTGATGGGTTGATGGGATTGGTGCTGATGGGACTTTTGCTGAAAGTATGGAAAATAAAAAACAATGGTTGTGCATTCAGCCAGTTGTGAAAGCTAAAAGCAGCACCACTTTTAACAGGCTCCAGCTTTGTATTTTACTGCTTTTTCTAACTCCTTTTGGCAACACCTTTGTTTTGTGTACATGTATTTCCATTGGAAAAAAAGAAAAAAGTAAAAACATATAAGCAGTAAACTACAATGATAATTTAGTATAACTGAAAGAGGCTTTGGTTCTAAGTGATTTGTTGGGAAAATAATTCAAAAGATTCTGGAGTTCTGCAAAACTTCTGCTCAACTACTGCGTAGTCGCAGCTTCCTCCTGCCCTGGTTAATCAGCCGAAGCAGCCTAGGCTCAAACTTTTTGCCCTGTTTTGAAAGGGATAGATAGTTTCAGTGCTTAATTCGTTCTAGTCAGAAATGCAGAAATTGGATCTGGCTGTGGCCAAACTGCTCATTCAGACGCTCTGCTTCGAGTTGCACTCAAGGCAGGGGCTCCCGTGCCCTGTTCTCGCTGTCTGCCTGAAGCTGTGATCAAGTGCAGAACTAATTTTGTTTTTATTGAGTCACTTATTTGAGGCATTGGTCTGAAACACAAATACTCTATGAGGAACTTTATTTTGCTTGATATATTAGTGATCAGGTTGGGTAACTTTTTGTATGTGAATATGGGTTGCCCTCTAGTGAAAAGAAAGGAAAAGCTTGCTTGAAAAGAGCTGCATTGTAGGCCCCAGAGGTCAGTCCAGGCTTTCAAACAAGCACTGAATTGACTCCAGCACTGAATTGCCTGGTATAGTGCAGTACATGTGACGTGTTTGCTAGGATCTCAAATCTACGGCCGAGTGATGGTGGAGCCAGTGCAGCACCTTGGCGCTGCCGTCAGCTGCATCATCGAGCGGGTTTTCCTTTGCACCGGTGCCGACGGCTACGTGCCCAAGTACAGTCCAGACAAGCAGGAGTACGGCTGCCTGGCTGGCTTGCCTTCCCTCCTGTGCACATTCAAGATCCGGGTAGGTACATTCAGAGCCCACCTGCACGCCCTTGCCCTGCGGATTCCGTAGTGAGTCAGGAAATACTGAACTTACTTAGTCCTTTTAGGACAAAGCTCAACCTGAGACTGAAGCAAGAGTCTTTGGATACCTGGAATTTCATGCTGCCCTAGCAGCTGATCATGCAGCTGCTCTTCCTTTAGTAAACCAGCCTGGCTCTGATGGTTTCAGCCTGTCTTCTACTCTGCTCTTCCAGGTAAGCTGTCTGGTAAGTGTATCACACCAACATTCTTTCATGGCAAAAGAAGAAGGCCCTAGCAGAAACTACATGGCTAATCTAATCACGAGAGTGCTCTTTCTGGCATTTTAAAATATTTTTCGATAAGAACCAGCTAGCATTTGGACAGTTTTATTTGGAAGAGCTTTTGTAATACATGACATTGGTCTTCATTTTGCTTCCAGGCTTAGATTTCTGACTTAAGCAACAAGTTTACTCGGTTCCCTCCTGCTAAAAGAATAGAGACCATGAGAGCACTGCTTTGTAATCCTGAGGTACTCTGCTGCAGCCTTGCTGTAGGTACAGCTGTGCCCGGGAGCAGAAGACAAATCTTGCCTCCAAGTGCCTATTTCTGCTGCTAAAAGCGGGGAGGGGAGGGAGTATTTTCCTTTCCTTGTTTCTCCTTACAGGTGGCAGCAGGCCGGGAATGGTACATGGACGCGATCTACACGGTCCGATCTAAAGCAAATGCCAAGAGTGGCCAAAGGAGCCTCAGTACACACTGTCCTCTGCTGCCCGCAGAGTTAACGCCACGGCCTTGAAACGCCCCCGAAGAGCCAACCCAAAGGCCCCCTGCTTTTGTGCAAGACATTGGGGCAGACAAGACCAGGGGCACCAACATTCAGCAGTTGCTCTTCACCGGGCCCACAAAGCTGCGCCTGTCCCAAAAGCCGCGGCCCCAGCTGGCAGGCCCTCCCCCAGGCAAGCTGGGGACCTGACCAGCGAGGACGCTGCAGATCACCTTGTGCCTGTAGCTGCAGGAGTGACGGGGTTGCCCTTTGTGGGCTGCACCGTGGGTCCAACTGCCTTTTGGCTGAAGCACCAGCCCTCAGCTGGGAGGAGCAAGGGGCCCACCAGCCACCCCAGCAGCAGCCGCCCTCGGAGGTCAAGCCCGGGCCCTGGGGCTGGGCCTTGGCGGGGCCTTCCCGGGCACACGGTGCGTCACCTGCACGGCTGCTGCACCTGCACGGCTGCTGCACCCACCTGCACGGCTGCTGCACCTGCATGGCTGCTGCTGACGGGGCACGTAGGGTCGAGGTGAAGGACTCGGCTACAGCACCCAAATGAGTACCCCGTGAGCAGAGCGTGGCTGGTTTTAAACCTAGTCAGAGTTTGAATATGCAGCTGTAAACGTGCCTTATTGCCCCCATGGAAAGCTAGTGCTTAAAGGGATATGGGGGGATTTTTTTTTTTTTTTATTGCAGGTGCTGATTTTGTGTTTTTGTTATGTTTTATAAAGACTTCCAGGTCAGGAGGAGTTACTGGAGAATGGAAGCTAAGTAGCAGAGAGGCTTCTTTTACGTGAGTGATACCAAAAAGTTTGTCTCAAATTTCAGTGAGGACCTCAGACCTACAGCCAGCAGCTGAAGACTCACACAGGTACGGCTGTAATTGCAGCTCTGCTGTAACTATAAGGAGATTATATTATTAACCGTATGATTAATAAGAATTAGAACTATATTTTAAAGCCACACTATTATTAAGGCTTAGATATTGCCTTAACTGCTTTCTAACATTGTTAAAGAGGTTGGAGCACTTGTACAACACTACTTTTGACTTTCTCCATACTGTATGATAATTACCCCTATTAGAATTGCCCTTGTTACATACATTAATATAAAAACAGCATCTAAATAGGGGCAAATACTTCTAAAAGGGAGCTTATTTTGTCAGTTGTCCTGCCTCGTTTTATTCTGGAAGTGGGCAACTTAACTGTACAATTTTGATTTGTTCTATTAGTAGAGACATTTTAGAAAGTTAGTGCTTAGCTCATTTCCTTGTCTTCATACTTGAAAATTGGGTATGCAAACGGATTGCTGCCCAGCTCTCATGGCTGGTTGTTTTGCTTGTCTTTCTTGGGCCTTTTTTTTTCAGTCTTGCAGCATTTGTTTTGCTTGTCTTGGGCCTTTCTTTTTTCAGTCTTGCAGCATTTTTGTTTAGGGGACATTACACATGGCCATATTATTTACAATGTCTTCTCTAAGGCTGCCACGACATTACAGGGTGAAGATTTTTTTTTGTAAATTGACTCATAATTCTGCTGTACACAGTAAGTTCTTTTGGATTTATAACCAAAATATTTTTACTGAACCTGTTCTCATCTGCTGGCTGCAAACTAGCTACCTGCAAATAGATACTTGCTTCATGTACCAGTGAGACTAGTACTGCTGGCCATGAAATGGACCTGTGTAACTGCTCAGCTTTTTCTAAAGCCTAGGGTTGCCAAAGTTCAAAAGAGATAGGTGATTTGCTATGGATTCAATCCCTCCGTGTCTACACAACACTGATACTTTTGATCTGTGTTCTTGAACAAGCCCAGATTGAGTAAAGCAATCTATGACTCAGGACTTTGTTCGCCTGTGAATTTCCAAAGTTAGATGGTGGCACTAGGGAGCACAGAATTTACTCAGGGTGATGATGTGCCAAAGACACACAACTAGGAGAGCAGAGTGGTGGGGCCATGGGCCTAGCTTGGCTGGACAGGGTGGCCTGGCTGGCTATGAGGTGGCAATACAGAACATAGTGCAGCTTACACTGAGCAGCTCTCTTGCCGCATCAGTCAAGACCATCTCTATTTGCCAAAGCTGTTAGTACAAATGGGTTGTTACACACACTGGTTTCTGTCCTGAGTTGCTGCTGTTTACCAGTAAAAACAGTGCTACCGTTCTTAGGCCAGTCTAATTAAGTACAAACCTGTAGTGTCACCTTTCCACTTGTACAGATTGCAAGCAGAAGAGTTCATTTTGTTCCATGTAACACATTAATCAGATGTTCCTGAAGCAGTGAGTAACCTGTATTTCCCTGTAGCGTCTCTGGATTCAGCTCAGTAAAGCAAAAGTCAAACCCACACAATTTCAAAACAAAATGAGTCTGAGTTGGGGTTACAGGTGTGAGGTGACTTACTTATAAAGTAAAAACGAATTACTCTATTGATCATAATAGAAAAACAGTTTTCCCGTAGGTGAAAATGGTTTGGGCTGAGGAAATGAATGGGTATTCCAGTGGAAACATGTAGGAAAAAAAGTCAAGTGAACCCTTATTAATAAATGAAGCCTATTTATTACTTCAAGTGTTAATGGTAAAAAAAATTCAGCACAGCTGTTGCATTTAAAAAAGTGAACCTACATTAAGTACTATGTTTCTAGTTCAGTAAACAGATGAACCCCATGTCCTTTAATGACATAATAGTTGAGCATTATACAGTACATCTTATGAAGACCCGTAAATTAAAGAACTACTTTTTAAATTTAGTGATTACAAAAACTCTCCATTCACAGCTTTAGCTTCTTTTTTCTTCCACGACCATCAGCAGTACCATCCATCTTGCGCTTCTGTGCCTGCAAGGGAAGGTGTTCAGTAAGTTACTTGGGGCAGGAAGAAGGCTGCCAAGTAGCGTGTTTGCAGTCACAGCACATGGTATGATGTACCCAGGCACTTATTAGCAGGTGATAAACTGCAACTAGGCAGCACGGTAAATATGCACATCCCCCTCAGTATCAGTACAGCACTGCTACTGTATTTTTCCAACTCTGGAAAAGCATGATGAAGAGAGAAAATGTATAGCATCAAGTCAGGCTGTAAAAAGGCTTAAGATGCTTGTAACTCTTGCCCTGTAAGTTTTTCCCAAATAATGTAATG